GCATTGTGGTGGGTGCCTGTAGTCCCAGCTACTTGGGAGGCTGAGGCAAGAGAATCACCTAAACCCAAGAGCTGGAGGTTGCTATAAGCTGTGATGCCATGGCCCTCTACCGAGGGCAACAAAGTAAGACTCTGTCCACCTCCCCCCCCAAAAAATGATCTAAAGAAATTAAAACTCCTGAGCTCAGGCTATCTACTGGCCTCAATTTTCCAAGGCTCTGGGATTATAGGTGTGAGTCACCATACCCCAACTGTCTTGTAAGTTTTGATTGATTTTTAGACATTGTGTGTAGATCAGTAGAGACTGAGTTCCATATTATGTATGCCTGGAAATGATCATATCCTTTTTTTTTCTGTTCGGCCATTAGTATGGGGTACTGAGTCAATATTATCAGGTGTTGAAGTATAATAGGTTTGGGTTTTGTTATTTCTATGTGTCTATGGAGCCTATGGATTCTATACTCTCATGAGGCCTTTAGCACTTCAATAAAAATTTTAGCTGAACTCTTCTTACCAACTCAGATGGAGACCCTGTCTTCCTCCTGTTTCACAAGTAAGCTATTGCCTGCATTCCACTTCTTTTTGGAAGTTCCCATCCTTCTTTGGAATTCAAGTGAATTGGTCGCACTGCAACATTAGGTCTCTAATGGGTTTGGCAAAAGTTTTGATTTTTTAGACTAACATTTAAAAAAATTGTTGTAAGTGTAGTAAAGATGCTCTTCCTGGATTTCTGTATCCTTGTGGGAATCCAGAAGTCTCAAGCCATCTACTTTTTCACTGCTCTTTTAAACTCCTTTGACTGTCTACTTCTGTTCTGCTGCTTGAGTCTTTCTCTTGGGTGACACCCTTCCAGCTTAGGCCCCCTAAATAATTTTTAGCTCGAATGTTTCCCCCTCTCCTCCCCTTCTGGTGGCAAATACCAGGTGAAGAGAAGGGACAGAGGTTCTTAATCTTTCTTCATCTTAGACTCAAAATAATCCATTAAGTCCCATTCCCAGGGATGTTTGAAAATGGGAAAGATGAGTTTGGGGAGCTGAGCTCCCAACCACTATACTCCTATTTGGCCTCATTCTTCCTATGCTAGAAAATGAGATGAACTATCCACTCTATTCATAAATGAGAAGAATCATAGTGACTGAAATGTTTCTTGGAATATGAAAACTGTCACGGGATAAAAGGGGAACAGGCTGGGAGTATGGTTACAAGCATGGTCTCAGGAGCCAGCCTACCTGGGCAGCTCCATCACTTACTGGCTGTAAGGCCTTAACGAGTTCCTTCACCCCTCTGTATCTGTTTCTATATCTGTAAAATGGAAATAACAAGAAAATTAAAAGAGTTAATAATAGTGACTGGCACATAATAAGCTCTGTAGATATAACAATTAGAACTCACTTGCTATAATTTCAGTAATGCATGGGAGAAAGCAGCTCCTTTCCCTTTCTCAGAACCCACTACAATCAAAACATCTAATGTTCATTGAGCATATCAAAGTACCCAAGTCCTGTATTAAGCATTTTATGTGAATTTTCTCATAAGAGATAGGGATTAATTATTCTTACATAATAGGTGAGGAGATCAAGGATCAGAGAAGTCAGTAGGCTAGAGGCAGCAGAAAGTTTACAACCCAACAGGGTCTGTCTACAATGCCGGTGCTCTTAACCATTACACTTGTTGCCGCCCACAAACGAGTTACCATGCTTGTAAACCAGTGGGAAAGCTGCTTGCTGTGTTTATCTCACGGGGTTGTTTTGAGATCCCAATGACCCAGTAGAAGAGGCACAGCTTTGGGTATTTGTACAAAGTGTTGGTCCCCTGGTGGGGAAACCTGACTATGTCTTCATGACTTCACACCCCCATTTCTTCAAGACTCAGCTCAGATATCAGCGCCTGGATTTTATTCTAATAATGGAGGATTTGAGCAGGGGGTGGCACATCAGACTTGGGTTCTGAAATGGCAGCTGACTGCTGTGCGGGTAATAGAGTGCGGCCAGGCCGGAGTGAGTACAGGAAAATCAAACAGTAGGCCACTGCCGTGGGAGCCCGAGCCCGAGCCCAAGCGAGAGGTGGTAGCGGAAACGGAGAGGAACGGTGGATGGAAAGGTATTTAGGAAAGAGGAAATGAAGGTGTATTTTAACGTGGGTGGCGAGAGAGAGGGAGGTGCCAAAGATGACTCCCAGTTTCCAGCTTGCCCGCTGGTATTTGTTGAACGATCTAAAGACCCCACCGGCAGACGCATCTTAGACTGACCCCGTGTGCCCCGCGTCCGTCCCCCCTGCTTCCTAAGCTAGAATCACCAGGATGCGTATGAAGGGAGGAGGAAGAGAATGGGTACGGAGTCTTGGTCCAGCAGATGCCAGATCGGACACTTCTAGCTTTGGCCTGAACCGCGAGGCGCTGCGAAGGGGTCAAGCGTTTTCCCTTTCTGCCGGCAGTTTCCGCCTCGCCCCTCCATCCCGGCCAGGCCGGACAGGCAAGGCCCCTCTCAGCACTGTGGAGGTGCTGGCTCTTCGCCAGCGTCTGGGGGCGCGGCGTAGCGGCCCACCCCTTCATCCCCGACCCGCCCGGTCTCCGCGCCCACCCCGCCCAGTGCGCTGGTAATCTGGGCGGCGGCTCTGTCTAGACCCGGGGCCTGGGATCCGGGCGGCCGTGTGAGTCCCGGGCTCAGGGGGTTTTCAGTGCACCTGCCCTGCGGGGCTGCAGGGGGTCAGCACCCTCCCGCCCTCCGGCGGGTTCCCAGACCCGTCTTCTCGAACGGCGCGCGCGCACGCGTGGCGAGAGTGGCCGAGGTGCCGGGAGTCCAGGTGCGGGAGCTTAGCTGCCGCGAGGGCGCTGCTCGGGAGTCGGAGCGCAGCAAGTGTGCGCGGGCGGAGAGCCGGCGCGGGTGCCCGCAGCGGGTCTGCGCGGGGCGGGGGCGCAGCAAGTGCATCTGAGCGTGCGGAGACCGGCGCGCGGGCGTCGGCGGCGAGGGTGGTGTGTTGAGGAGCCGGGCCGGCAGGAGGGAGGAAGGATGCGTGCGGGTAACTTTTCGATCGCCCTGGAAGTGCCAGTAGTCCCGCTCCCGGGGGCTGCCTGCGGCCGCCGGGCTACAGGCGGGCGAGTGTGCCCGCCGCCGCCCCTCCCCCACTTCCGCCTCCCGCCTCTTCCTCGTTCCCGGCTCCCAGGGCCCGTCGGTCCCGGGGGAGACCCGGAGGCGCAGCCCCACCCCGGCCGGCGCGACTCGCTCCCACGCCCCCGCTGCCGCCTAGCCTTAGCGGACAGACTGAGTCGGCGGGGGCGCCGGGCGCTGCAGGTAGGGGCTCCGGCTACGGTGGGCGCAGGTGCCGCGGGGGACAGCGGAGGGCACTGGAGCGCGAGGGGAACCGCCTGGGGGAGTGCCCTCCCCCGCGCTCCTCCCTTCCCCCCGCAGACGCGGCGTGTCCCTTTTTAGGGAATTCTTTCCCTTTTGCTTGCTCCAGTGCGGGTGGGGCTGAGTCCGAATGGCAGTTCTCCATTTCGCCGGCTCCTGGCCGGGCCCCTGGCAGCTGCCTGCCCCCAAATCGCTTCACCCTTTCCCCAGCACCTATAGCCTCGTAAACAACTGCCTTCGTGCTCCGGTGGGGCTCTGGGACCCCCCTGGGGGACAGCCCCTTCAATCTCCAGAGATTAGTGGGATTGGGGGGAAGGAGAAAGAAAGGGGGCGTCCCGGAGCCCCTGGTCCAAGTCAGCTCCCTCCCCCGCCCTGCTCTGCTCCCTCCTCCCCCTCCTCCCTACTGCTGAAGCAGACTGCTCCAGGGGCCCTGGGTATTTTTAGCGTTGTGACCTGGGCAGCAGCTCTAAGAGCCTTTCCGAGGAATCGGCGTCAGCGCCTCCCTCCTCCACGTCCAGCCCGCGGCCACACGCTCTCTCCACACTTCCTTGGCCCTGCCCAGCCCACTCGAGTTTGGGTCCCTCTTAGCTACCCCAGTGCCTGGGGAGCTGGTCAGGATCTGGGATATGCTGAGTCGGGATGAGGAGGGAAAAGCATTTAGCGGCGGATAACGATCAGATCCTCAAACTAGAAACTCCCCTGACTCTGGTGATGAGCTCAGCAGAGTGCCAGGAAGGAGACCGAACGAATGGGCGTGAATGCCGAAGGCCTGGGCTGGCGGAGAGCTCTGGTGTTCTGGAAAGCTCTCAGCACTGGGGGTCAGGAGATTGGTCTGAATTGGACCCAGGACCCGCCCTTCCAATTGTTTCTCACTGACTAGTAGGGAGATGTGTCAGAGGAGGGAAACTATTGAGAGCGATTGGAGTTCAGAGAGACATGGTCGTCCCCTAAATAGCTCCTTTCCCAAGCAGCATCTTGTGTTTGAGGTAGGTAGGACGATTATGCCATTTTTCAGATGGGGAGACTTTTAAAGCCAGAAAGATGATTTTCTTAAGGGCACGGCCTTTTCTGGAAGTCAGGTCTGTGACTTCAGAGCAAGGGTTTGAAGGGGATGGTGTGTGTGTGTTTGCAGAGCAAGGAGGAGGAGGGGTTGCTTTAGTTTTTGTCTGAGTTTTGAAGGATGAAGAGGAACCAGAGTTGCAGCAGCAGAGGAAGAGAACCCTCCTCTCCACAATCTCTATCCTATCCTCCTCCCTGGCCTTCTGAAGCAGGCTGGGTCCATTAAGTGGAGAAAAGTACCTCCCCCATTTGGGCTGAACCAGCCCCTAAAACCCCTAGAAGGGCATGATACTCAGAGTTGGCCATTGGCTGCATTCCCTGAATACAGAGGACCTCTTTTGCAGTGCCTGGAACTGGCCTCCCCTTTGTGAAGCTAGGGCAAGCCCTGCCTCTGCATGAGACTTGAAGTTTGTGGGAAGAACTTGCTTTCAGGGAAGAGGAAAGAGATAGCCAAGGCCAGAGTGTCCAGGCTGGAACCAGAGGCCCCACTGCTGGGATGTTGGGGGCTGTGGGGCTCCCCATGCCCAGGCCCCCACTATCTTCTATCTCAACTTCACAGCTGCGCTTTTGTTTCTTTACCCACCAGGAGCTGATATGGACCCAAATCCTCGGGCAGCCCTGGAGCGCCAGCAGCTCCGCCTTCGGGAGCGGCAGAAATTCTTTGAGGACATTTTACAGCCAGAGACGGAGTTTGTCTTCCCTCTGTCCCACTTGCACCTCGAGTCACAGAGACGTGAGTTCTAAGTCCTGAGGCGAGGGACTGTGGTAGGGTAGGAAGGATGTCTTGTGGGTCCTGAATCTTGGGGCCTCCCTCCCATCTTTCTTGGCCTTCTAAATTTCTAATTTGGGACCTGATAAGTAACTCTCACTATTGTATTGGCTCCAGGCTGGGTCCTCCTGACTTGCCCCCTTCTTGATCTGTAGCCCCCATAGGTAGTATCTCATCTATGGAAGTGAACGTGGATACACTAGAGCAAGTAGAACTTATTGACCTTGGGGATCAGGATGGAGCAGACGTGTTCTTGCCTTGTGAAGATCCTCCGCCAACTCCCCAGACGTCTGGTATGCCCCTCTGCTTTGGGGACTTGGGCATTAATCAGCCAGAGCCGGATGTTGGGGCTCTGAGATGAGGCTGCAAGGTCGGGGTGGGGAAGTATGCAAGTAGGGGCTGGAAGTGTGTGTTTCCACCAACAAAACAGCTGCCTGTTCTGATTTTGGGGAAGTTGACCTTGAGGGGGAACTGGGTTAAAGATCCCCAGCCCCAATTCTAGGAATGGTCAATCTCCTTAGCCTTTTAAATGGAACATTTGTGAAATTAGTGTAATTAATTAGCATAATTAGAATAGTATAAAAATATAAGTTTTACATTTTACATTTATAATTTAAAGAGTTTTTTGTCATCGTGATATTAATATTTATTGATCACTTTATTGGTTCCTAATATTGTGCTAAAGTATTGTATACATATTATCTCAATCCTTACTGTGTCCTTTCAGGGCAGGTAGTATTATCCCCATTTTATAAAAAAGGAAATTAGGCTCAGAGAATTTAAATCACAGAGGCAGAAAGTAGAAAAGCTGGGATTCATACCATGTCCATCTGACTCCAGAACCTGTATACTTAACTTGTAAGATAGATATTCTCTTATTAAAACTGCCACTCTTGGCTCGGCGCCTATAGCTCAACCGGCTAAGGCGCCAGCCATGTACACCTAAGGTGGCGGGTTCGAATCCCCAGCCCGGACCCGCCAAACAGCAATGACGGCTGCAACCAAAAAATAGCCGGGCGTTGTGGCGGGCGCCTGTGGTCCCAGCTACTTGGGAGGCGGAGGCAGGAGACTCGCTTGAGCCCAGGAGTTGGAGGTTGCTGTGAGCTGTAATGCCATGGCACTCTACCCAGGGGGAAAGCTTGAGGCTCTGTCTCAAAAAAAAAAAAAAAAACTGCCACTCTTTATTCATAGCCTGCCATGTCAGACATTTTATAAGCATTCTTAGATTTTATCCTCAAAACCTTTTGGGAATGTAGGCTCCCCTCCCCTTTCTTTTACAGAAGAGGAGCAGAGTCTTTTAAAGGGAAAGTGACTTGCTCAAAGCTACTTGGCAACAATAAATACAGTAAGTGTTATAGGTAGACCTTGAACTTGCATTGATTGACCTAACTCTAAAGCCCAGAAATAGTATAGTGACATGGTAGGAGTTGGGAGCCAGGAGATGGAAGTCTTAATCCTGGCTCTTTGCTGGGCTAGCAAAATGGCTTTGGATAATTCCTTGCCCCTCTTTGGGCTTCAGTTTCACCCTGCCAGGCAATCTCTAAGAGTCCTCTGAAGTTCTACTTTGGCCCTGACCAGCTCTTCTCTCTGGGTAGGGGTGGATGACCATCCAGAGGAGCTGAGCCTGCCAGTGCCCATGTCAGACAGGACCACATCCAGGAGCTCGTCGTCATCCTCTGACTCTTCCACCAACCTGCACAGCCCAAACCCAAGTGACGGTGGAGCAGACACGCCCTTGGCACAGTCTGATGAAGAGGAGGATGGGGGTGATGCAGGAGCAGAGCCTGGAGCCTGCAGCTAGCAGTGGGCTCCTCCCTACAGACTGACCAGACAGGCTATTCGTCACATGAGGCCATAGGCCCAACCAAAGCCCATCGTCAGAAGACCAGACTCTACTTACAGTAGGCGCCAGAGGCAGGGAAGGATGGCGGATCGTGTCTCTCTCTGAGAAGTAACCCTCTCCTGCTTTACTGCTAACCTTTTCCTGCTGCAACCCTTGCGCTAGTTTTTGACTTACTCCTGAGGTAGGACTTGCAAGTAAGGAGATGGAAGATGAGGTAGGACAAGATGCTGCTGCTTATCTAAGCACTCCTCCCTCCCCCAAGCTATCCTGTAGTCTTCTAATAGTCTCGTAAACCAGTGTCTCTAAGTGGACGTGAACTCCTTCAGATGTCCAGTGAGGTGATACTCCAGCCATCCTGCCTCCGTTACAACATTTTTGGAACAGAGCACGGTATGAATAATAAATAATAATATACCAACTATTCCACTTTGGTTTTTACATCCCAGAGCTATCGAACCCACTATATGCCTTCAGCTTTCAAACGACACCACGTCCCCATGACTCATTCATTCCATAATTGCAGAAATAGTTTTTGATCATCTGTGCTAGGCATTTGGAATGTAATTTTGATCAAGACAGGCTGTATCCCTGCCTTCAAACAGTTTACTTGACTGTGGAGAAGAAAATCAAGTAAATTCCATGGCTCACAATATAAGTAAAATGAGGAGGGAAGACTCCTATACCAGAAAATAGGGGCATCCTAACCTTGCTCTTGTGGTCATAGAAGAGGTGAGGTGATTTTTAAGCTGAAGGATGGTTAGGAGATAGCCAAGTGGGAGACCATAATCCAGACAGAAAGAGCAGCTGGTTAAGACTTTAAATAGTGAGAACATTACCTCAAGGAACTGAAAAACACTCAGTTTGGCTGAATTGGATTTGAGGAGGAGATACAGAGGTAAGACCGACAGAGGTCAGGTTGTACAAATGCTTTGAAGCCTGGATCAGGTTTCAGTTTGACTGCTAGTAAAAGATCATGACCTAAGTTATAAATTTATTTCCTCATATAAAAGAAGTCCAAAGTACAAAGCGGTATGCAAGCTCCATAGTTGCTGAACACTGGCCTCTTCTGTGGCTCTTTTTTGCACATGGCTTGTGTTCTTCTTGACACCCCATGTGTAAGATGGCTATCAGAGCCTCAGCCGTCAAGACTTGAAACTGGCAAAGAGGAGAACTCAGGGATGGGCAAAGAGGGCACAGCTAGATGTCTGTTCCCACTTTAAGATATATTTTTGTAAGTTCGCTGGCCAGAACTTTGTAGCACAGAAGATGTTTCGTTTGTAGACTTTTATAGACATAGGGACACAGCATTATTTAGAAGAAAGGAAATTCTGGTTTTAGGGAAGACAATAACCTTTTCAAGTCACTGAATTATCAATGCACCTGATTTCTGACTACTGTCAGACCTCTGAGAAGTACCCTGGCTATTGGGCTAATGGAATAGTCATTTATTAGGGCACACTGCTGTCCTAAGAGCCAAGGTTTTGTTACTAAGGAACAAGAGGACAGTCATCATGGGGTAGGTAATTAGCAGTTTACATGTTACAGGCCATGTTAAAAAATGTAAACTTATTGGGAGTAATGAAGGATTATAAGTGGTTGGGTTTGCTAGTAAAAAGCTAATTCTGGCTGCTATGTGGAGAATATCCTGGAAGAGGACAGGCGCAAGACAGACAAATGACACAATAATCCCTGCAAGAGATAACAGTGGCCCACAAGACAGTAGTGGTGATTAATTGGGTCAAGGCAGAGTATACGCTGATACATGACATTATTCATTCAATGAATGTTAAATGTAGGTATTAAACATGCACAAGTCACCAAGTATGGCCTTGTAGATGGAGTAGCAGCAAAGAACAACACAGTCTCTCTTCCCATGGAGTTTATAGTCTAGCGGGAGCCCAAATGTAAAATTGCAACTGTGACTACCACTGGGAAGGAATCAACCTATTCAGAGGGGTCATGGGGATGTTTCCCCGGAGGAAGTAAGTGGCATTTTAGCTCAGATCCTAATGATGAGTGGGAGTAAAACTCGGGGAAGAATGACCGGAAGGGCTGCTTGTGGAGTCTTGATTAAAGGACCAGAGTGGATTCCTGGAAACTAGAAGCCGATTACAGCCATCTAGATAAGAGGTCATGGAGGAGGGTGAAGGTAGAGAGATGGAGAACCATGGAAAGAATGAAGAGAGAGGAAATTCCAAAAGATTAATGAGTGGGTGTGAGAGAGGAAGCGATTGGGGGTGCTGCCTTTGCTTCTATCTTCTGCAGGTGATTTGGAGGGCTCTTTGCCCAGATGAGGGGTTTTGGAAAGAACCAGATTTGGGAACAAGTCCATACATTTGGTTTTCATTTTTTAATTTTTATTTATTTTTCCTACAGAGACACTGTTGTTGCATATAAATTTGATTTTGGATTTGTTGAGTTTGAAGTGCCTTGGAGACATCTAAGAGGACATGTTGAATAGGCACTTGGACCTATGAGTGTGGAACTTAGATGAGAGGATTGGACTGGGAAAGAAATAGATGAGTTATTGGGCGGCGCCTGTGGCTCAAGGAGTAGGGCGCCGGCCCCATATACCGGAGGTGGTGGGTTCAAACTCAGCCCTGGCCAAAAAAAAAAAAAAAAAAAAAAACTGCAAAAAGAAAAAAGAGAAAGAAATAGATGAGTTATTAATACGTAAATTATAGGTGGTTAAGTGAAGCCATGGATGGAAATGAGCTTGCCAAGAGAAAGAATGTTGAATGAAAGAAACATCTACTCATTTCTTATATTAAAACGAAAATCATTCTCCCACCCTTCACACCTCAGCACCCTTAAGCCTAAATCCTAAAACTCCTTGTGCCATCCAGGCCGCATGACAGGGCAGCACTCTTCCTATAGCCCCTTCCTGCTTTCACCTTTGCAGGAGGCCATTGTAAGTAACTGTTCCTAAGTGCTTTTCCTACCACTACTGAGAAACTTGTGGGAGCTCCAAGGAAGTAGGAGTGTTCGTTAGTCTTTCCCTGTCTCTAGTAAACTTGTGGAGTGAATACCTTTTGTCCAAAAGCCTCTAGGTCCAAGTTGAAGTCATCCACTAAGCTGGGGCCAGGCTCATCTTTTGTTAACCTTTGGGGATTGTCTGGGTTGCTTATGATTGTGCTGATCTCTGTTCTCTTGTTCCTTCTCCACTTCCTTTAGAGTAGCAAGGCTCTACCCCTTGTCTGTCTGTGGCTGAGCCTTTTCTCAGGTTGTGATCCATGACCCCAAAGGCTTTGCAATACAGGGTTTCTGAACTTCTGAAATCACCCTATTTCTCTCTAGGGCAAATGATGGGAAGCTAGACTGGTTTGGTTGCTATCAACATGTCAGTAAATCCCTTAGTACCCAAGGCACACAATGCTAAGATTGTAGGGAGCCAGCCTGGGGACAGGGATTTATTGCCTTCTCAAGAAGTAGAATTGTTTGTGAGCCTATGGAGAGCTTTTGATTTGGCTGCTATGAGCCCCAGCCTGGCCTGTTTGAAAACTCTAGGATCAGCTCAGGCCCCCGGACCACTTCCTGATTGGGACAATGATCTTTTCTCCTGCCAAACCACAGGGGCTTGGCTGGCCTTCAGAACTACCATCTCCAGCTATTTATTTATTTATTTATTTTTCAACTTTTATTACAAGGATTTCAAATATAAAATGAATATAGAAAGAAAAATACCCCTTGTTCCCATCATTCAGCTTCAAAAAATTATCAAAATAATGCCAATATTGTATCATTGACCCACCACATAGCTTTTTTTTTTCATGGAAAAATGTAATTGTTGAGAGAAAAAGTAGATTACAGAACAGTGTATCCAGGATGGACACTTTTAATAAAAGATAATCTGAAGTCTCTTTAGGATTCAGCTTTTGGTTACAGTGTCACATTAAAATTAAACCATGGTATATTCTGGCCTAGGGCCTAGCTGTCTGTTTTTTGAGGCCACAGGGTGTCCTTGGAGATGGGAGAATAATTTGGAGCCAACTCTGAGTAAAGGAGCCCAGCTTTCAGACTATAAGCCACAATGTGGCTTTTGACTCTTGCCCTGACTTGTCATAGGGTGGGTACCCTGACAGACTCTAGAGAGGAGGGGAGAAGACGACAAATCTGTCCTGGTAGAACCCTATGCAGTGGAGGAAATGGGAAGGACCACAGTTCAGCAGCGGCATCTCTAGGAGGCTTAACACTATAGCAATCCCCAGGAGTGTACAGAACTCCACACTGAACAGCATGGCAGTTTGGGGACAGTACAGAACTGGGCTATGATGTCTTGTTCATTTGTTCATACCTTCAAACATTACTGAGCACCTACTTATGAGCTAGCCACCTTGCTTAGGCAATAGAAATACTAAGGTGACCAAGACCTCTTCCAGGAGCATAGATAGCCACAGATAATGGATATGTAATGTGATAAGGGTTATGGCTGCCATAAGGGGGAGAAAGTAAATCTTCACGGAAGATGGCTGAGTCTTAACTGATGGGGACAGACAATTTCTTTCTTTCTTTTTTTTTTTTAGAGACAGAGTCTCACTTTGTCACCCTCAGTAGAGAGCTGTGGCATCGCAGCTCACAGCAACCTCCAGCTCTTGGGCTTAGCCGATTCTCTTGCCTCAGCCTCCCATAGTTGGGACTACAGGCGCCCTCCACAATGCCTGGCTACTTTTTTGTTGCAGTTTAGCTGGGGCTGCGTTCAAACTCGACACCCTTGGTATATGGGGCCGGGGCCCTACTTACTGAGCCACAGGTGCTGCCCAGGGACAGACAATTTCAAAAGCAAACCATAGAAGTACAAAATCATGCCCAGCACAGTGGCTAACTCCTATAATCCTAGCACTCTGGGAGGCCGACGTGGGTGGAATGCTTGAGCTCACGAGTTTGAGACTAGTCTAGGCAAAAGTGAGCCCCTGTCTCTGAAAAAACAGCTGGGCATTGTGATGGATGCCTGAAGTCCCAGGTACTCATGAGGCTGAGGCAAGAGAATCTCTTGAACCCAAGAATTTAAGGTTGCTGTGAGCTGTGATGCCACAGCACTCTAACAAGGGTAACAAAGTGAGAATCTGTTTCAAAAAGGAAAAGTAAAAGGTCATAATGATGGCAGCTCTACCTTTAAAAAATTATTTTGCGATCAGTAGTATACTGTGAGCAAAGGATATTATCTTAGTTTCTGTACTTCAGTTCCCTCCTCTGCAAAATAGAGATAATAGTACTTACATGATGGAGTTGTTTGAGTAAATTTTTTTTTTGAGATGGAGTTTCACTATGTCAACCTAGGTAGAGTGCTGTGGCATCACAGCTTGCAGCAACCTCAAACTCTTGGGCTTAAAAGATTCTCTTGCCTCCGCCTCCCAAGTAGCTGGGACTACAGGCGCCCAACACAACTCCCAGCTATTTTTTCGTTGTAATTGTTATTGT